CTTGCTTTTGTAGAACTGCTTGAGTGTGAAGGTCTTCCCTTCCGCTGCCTTCCTCAACACGGCTTCGTAGTGATACATCAATGGCTCCATCTTCTTCTCGGCGTCTAGACCAAGCACTGCGTCAGCGGCGTAAGCCTGTTGCAGATGGAATCCCAGCGGAGTCCTGCAACTCTTTTCAGCCCAGTCCTGCAAAATCAGTGGGGGGAAGAACTGTGCATCTGCGTGTGGCAACTTCAATAAAAGACCATCGCGAGCAAGTCGAGCCATCAAGTCTGAGTCTTCAAGCAGGCTGAACCACCGTGGAATGTCTTTGTTCAAACGCTCACGGCTTTCAGAGTTGAACTTGCACTCAGTGATGATGTGCCCCCGTGCTTTAATCAGTGCTTCTTCTGTCGGATTGGAGAGCAACTTGGAGTTCTGATTCTTCGCGTCATTGAGACCGTCATACAATGACCTTGGATGACCACAGCATTGAAGAAGGAGTTGGTGAATGCCTGCATGCTCTCGAGCCGCCTCCTTCCAGTCCTTCTTCTGCTTCCAAGTGTCGATGGGCAAAGCCTCGAGCGGCAATGAAATGACTTTCCGACCGCTTCCAGTTGCCGCGTGGTCCAAAAACTGCTGACTGATGTGGGCAAAGACGAAAACCAACTTGCCTCCACGATCATCTGCTTCAGTCATCAAGGCTCTCAAAACATCGTCAGCCTTCTGCTTCAACTCGCCGATCTCGTCGATGAAGAGCACCAACGACTCCTCCTCAGACATGCCGAGTGCCTTGCGAAAGAGGTTCAGGCATTGCTCAAAGCCCAGAAGGGAATACTGCTGGGCTTCCACCTTCAGGTTTGCCATGAGAACATGCCCAATGCTACGAAGAACAGTGTCTTGCTGATTCTGCGATTCCCAAAACACGTTTGCACTCCTGCCAGCTCCACCATTGAAGGTGAGGTATGCGCCCTTCGCCGACATCTTCAGGTCTGGCAACACCTTGGTGAGTCCATATTCGAGCATCGTCGTTTTGCCGATGCCTTTCATGCCCGACGTGCCGAGGATCGGGAACTTGGAGTGGGTCCCATATCTGTTCTTGCCCTCGATGGAATCGCGGATGTAGTTCTGCATGATTTCGATTGCATTCGTGCGGGGGTCTTCGACAATCTTTGGGGTTTCTGATGGTTTTGGCGAAGAAATCTTGCCCTCTGCGATGCCTTGCACAATCTGCTGACATGCCTTGTCTGCTGTGAGAACCTGCAGGGGAACAAGTGCAAAAATGAACCCGACAAATCAGCAAAAACCAAAGCCTAACCTAAGCACTGCCGACTTTAGCAACCTTGTCTAACAACGCGTGCCTCGGACTGCTTTGCCTGTTCTCGCTCATATTGCAGGGTCTCCCATGCTCTGTCTACAACCTGTCGCAAGACAGGCACCAAATTGGAGTTGGGGTTCTCGCTCGCGCTGCGGACGAGATCTTGTTCCGCCTTTCTAAACGCTTCCTCTGCTGCATCCACTCGTGATTTCTTGGCAGGCGGCTCATATTGCTCCGCGTCGGACATGGCTTTGCGCTAAATTTCTAACATAATTTAACTTGCCCGTCCTGATGGTTTGGGATTGAATGCGGTTGTGGACTACACATGTGATGCTCTTCATGATGACTCTATGGAAAGAAACTGTTGGGGCTTGTTCTTGGGCAAGACATGCATAACTCTCCAAAACTACAACCTTTAACCCTAAACCTAGTAAAATCTATGAGAGAACCCTTGCCCACTTTGGGATGATAATAC